GTATGGAAACGAATTTGACAATAAATTTCATATTTAAAAAAAAAAGAATTTCCATTCTCTTGAAATGCTCCATATCATCAGTATTAATACTAATACTATAGTATTAGTGATTATTCAAATGGGGTATCTGCTCTTATGTGGATCCTGAGAAACTTAACAGAAGACCATGGAGGAGGGGAAGGAAAGAAAAAAGTTAGGGAGGGAGCCAAACCATAAGAGACTCTTAAAAACTGAGAATAAACTGAGGGTTGATGGGGCGCGTAGGGGGGAGGGTGGGTGATGGACATTGAGGAGGGCACTTGTTGGGATGAGCACTGGGTGTTGTATGGAAACCAATTTGACAATAAATTTCATAATAAAAAATTACAAATAAATAAATAGGGTATCTGATCAATTTATCAACTGGATATCCTGTGGGTCTGTTTCTAGTTCTGATTTTTCTCTTGGTTTTCCTGTGTATCAGCCGCTGAAACTACACGTGAAAAACCAGACAAGAGTTTGAGGCTCTGGATGAAGTTACCTACTTCTGGAAAAGATTTATTTTTGCTGCTGGCTGGTGGGCAGACTCGAGATGCTGACAGTCCCCGTATCTCCTCATTCAGTCAGTACTGAAAGTGATTCAAACCAGGACGCTGGTCCCCATGAGGGCTGGTCTAATTTAGGATCACCCCTTACTCCCTAGCAACGGGCTCTCGAGCCTGGGGTGTGTTGACCAAGCTCCTTTCAACTTGGCTGTGTCAACTCTTAATTTTTGCCCCAAGCCCTGTGGATCTGGAAAAGTCTCTCAGCCAAACTTCCATCCAAACAAGCTAGCCTACTACCACCACAAAGCTCCTTAGTGTCTCACTAACACTGGACACCGGGGGCTTGGCTGCCCACACCACTCTACAGGGCTTCTCCTCCTACACGGCAGGGGCAGTGGATGGCCAGGGACCTGACTGTGGTCAGCAACTAGTCCTGAGTCCTCGGCTTGTCTCTCTAGGTGTCCTTCACCTTATACTGCATCAAAACCCTTGTTTCTTCCTACTTTCAAAGTTTCACAGTCTCTAACATCCCTAACATACGCTGGACACGCCAGATGATACATTCTTCTTCTGCGGCTCTGTCAGTGCCCAGCCTGGCACACCCTTCCTTCCCCTAAAAGCATCACAACACAGAGACCCACGTTAAAACAGCATGGATTCTGACGTACAGACAAGGCTGTTCAGCTTCTGGAACTGTGCCCATTCCTATAGAATATCTTTATTATTTGCTGGCCTGGCTACTAAGACCTACAGTGTTGACGAGGACCCAGCTAGCGCTAAGGCTAAAAGTCAAAGAGAAAAGCCCAACCCCAAAGAAGAAAGCAGCCACTGTAGGCATCACTCTGCCTGGTGGCACACAATAAATTAACACGAGGGGATGAGGCCTGAGTCATAGCAAAGGACTTAAACTGTTCTTTTTTTTACAAAGGATGTGGTGTGTTCAGCAATAGGTCAAGGCCAGAGTCAAACTTTTCAGCCTTTGGCTTTTCAGAAACTAAAGCAGCACTCTTTCCTCAGTGGAGGAGAACACCAGAAGAAACACAAACATTCTTTTTGTTTTCATGATGGATGGCAGAACCAGTGGTTGAAAATGATGACAGGTTGATACACAGTCCTACTTTCACACGCATGGAGAAGACCTACTCGAGCCGTGTCGTGACACAAAGAACGTTCTGCACAAACCCGCTGACTCCGGCGCTGGTTCCTCACCGCCCATACCCCATGTTACCCCCCAACTCCATCACTCCCTGACCAGGGAGCTCCTGACGGGGCCTCTTCTCTGCAGGACACTGGAGTCTCCTATGTAGTATGTCTCCCCTTCCTTGTGGAATGTGGACCCGTCAAAACGCCAAAGAATCGATCCCTGCAGCTCTGTCGCAGCCAACACCCCCAGAAGGAGTCATCACTAGGCTTCCCGATGCTCCAGCAACGCACTGGCGAGAAGAAACCAAATGGTATGTTGGCCGCCACTTTCCCCAAGGGACCCTGGGAGCAGTGGAAAAGGCGCGGGCCAAGGCTAGGTTTGAGTCCTGGCTCTGCCCCTATCTAACATCGCTCACCCAGGCAATTCAAAAGGCACCGAGAGCCTACTCTGCATCAGACGCCACTGGGCAGTAAGGGTAGAAACAGGACACAACAGGTGCCCGCCGTTATGGCGCAAAAATCCAAAAAGTGCCTCAGTTTCTGCATCTGCTAGTGAAGGTGCCGAACCAAGTAATCTCTGAGGTTTCTGAGTTCTTCTGACCAAATTTAAAGTGCTAGGCTTGTATGATCCGAGGGACAGGGCTGCTGGCTGGCCATGCGCATCTGTGTGACTACGTGGCACAGCCTCTCCGGGCCTCGGTTCCCCCGTCTACAAGGCTATCGGGTGAGAAAACATCCCCAGTTACCTTATGCAGCCACAGAGGAAGGTGTCCGGAATCGCCCTGCAAGGAGTCCTTCTGCTGAACGGCAGCCCAACAGTAAGAATCCACGAAGGCAGCCTGACGCCAGGAGAAGGAACTTGGGGAGAAACAGCTTATCTGGGTACCTGAGAAGCAAAAAGAGACAGCGCTAAATAAATGTGTGAGCAGTATCTGGACCACCCCACCCCCCACCCCCCAGCCTCAGGTCTCTCAGTGGTAGCAGTCACAGAGCAATGCGCCACAAGGTCAGAACCAAAACCAGATTCATATTAAAGCTGAGTATTTGAGAGATTTTTGGCCGACGCTGGTCATGACGGCAGCTTGGGCTCAGCTGGAGAAAGCTCTTGAAAGTGAAACCACCATAAAAAGAAAAAGTGGGCAGGAAAAGAACCAGGGCTAAAAGAATAGCAAGGCTGGCTGAATTTGGGTGAGGTTTGAGTGAAGGGGGGGGGTTACAGGGGAGGGGGGAGAGTCTATCAGAAAACTGGGCAAAAGGGTGCCTGGGTGCCTCAGTTGGCTGAGCATCTGACTTTGGCTTAGGTCATGATCTCCCGGTTCTTGAGTTCGAGCCCGGTGTCAGGCTCACTGCTGACAGCACAGAGCCTGCTTCGGTTCTTCTGTCTCCCTCTCTCTCTGCCCCTCTCCTGCTCAGGCATGTGCTCTCACTCTCTCTCAAAAATAAATAAACATTAAAAAAAAAATAAGAAAAAGATGGGGTGCCCGGGTGGCTCAGCCGGTTAAGCTTCTGACTTCGGCTCAGGTCATGATCTCGTGGTTCATAAGTTCGAGCCCCGCATTGGGCTTTGTGCTGAGCGCTCAGAGCCTGAAGCCTGCTTCAGATTCGGTGTCTCCCTCTCTCTCTCTGCCCCTCCCTGCTCATGCTCTGTCTCTCTCTCAAAAATAAACATTAAAAAAATTTTTTTTTAAAAAAGAAAGAAAACTGGACTAGAAAAGGAGTCCTTTAGAACAGAGAAGCCAGGACTTCTACCCTGATGAAGGGAAGGCTGAAGGAACTTTTGGTGACAGGTCACTGGATGGCAAATCAGCAGTTTTCCGTCTCCTCCAAGAAGAAAGAAGGCACAGGTAAAAGTACAGCCCAAGGAAGAGAGAGCAAACCCGCTAACGGAGGGATGGGTGTGGGGTGGGGTGGCAGGAAACCTGGGTCCTACTCCCGGGCCCCCATCTGGCACATGTGGGAACGTGTATCTCAAGCCGAGAGCAGGCACACTGTCCTCCACACCTTGCACAGTGTGAGAGGTGCTAGGTGCTTGGGCTCTGATGCTGTTCTATTCAAACCCAACTCTGCCACTCACAGCTGGGTGACCTCAGGTCACTTCACCTTCCAAAGCCAAGGCTCTCCAAACAGACGATGACATTAATGTCTATATTCTCAGTAGGCTGCCTGGTTCCCAGGAGTTACTCAGGAAGTATTGCATTCTTCTGTATGAGGTAACTAGCAGGTTCTGTTGTTGCTTTAAAGAGTGGGGGCATGCCCACCCTGGAAAGAGGGGAAAGGGGTGGCAGGAAGATACTGGGGTGGACTTCCCTAGTCCCTGAAACATAAAAAGCCTCAAAGCGTCACCTCCCTCTGGGGAGGGGGTGGGCTTTACGCTTGTGGCAGGAGAAGGCAGTGACGGGGATGTTGTCCGGGGAGCAGAATCTTGTGGTGGAGGAGGTACAATGAGGTCAGAGCACCCCCACTTCATTGGGTATTTTTATACCCACAGACATCAAGAAAGGACTTTTCAGCAAGAGCCCTTGGAGGACATCACAGTGAAAAGTCACATATCGTCAGAGAGTGTCCAACGATAGGGTATGTTCTTGCCAGCTAGGAATGGCTTCAGTATGAGTTGGGGGTGGGTCACGCATTTCAAGGAGCTTTCAATTCTCATAGCCCACTGAACTTCAGTTCTTGCATTTTATAAAAACAGAGTGGTCAGAACAGCGCTGGGCCGTAGGGATAACGTCACACAGCTCTTGCATTAGCATGACTTTGCTAAACGCTGCCTAGGAAGTCCCCACCCACCAAGGCTTACTGATCTCGGTTATAAATGGATGGTTTCTGATGCGTTGCTTGCTTGGTATCATCTCTCCAGATACTTTCTCATGCAAAAGGACAGTACTTTCAGGATTTCATGAAAACCTGTCTGCTCCTTCCTTGTATTTCTTAGGTATGGTCCTGGCAGTGCACATAGCCAGCATGTAGTAACATTCTTTCTATAGGATAATGTGTTTCAGGTCCTGTCTTGGGACCTCAAAAACCTCCCCCAAGGCACCGGTGGAAACTGCCAGAGCATAAATAAGTAAACTTTTCATACCAAAGCTTTTGCAAAAGAGGAAGAAAGAAAATGTAACTGAGTCTAGAGAGACGGAAATTGAGGATGTGCTGAGCTCAAAATGTTTTTCATCTGGAATGGAAGGTCAGAAGAAAAGACAACAGACAACCCACATTCACAGGATACAGGCGGTCCTTAAACCCTTGCCTCATTTAAACCTCACGACCAAATTGGAGAGAAAGAGAGAGGGAGGGAGAAAACGGTATCTTATCTTCATTTTACCCTAGATAAAACCAAAAGCTCAAAATAATCTCTATCCAAGCTAGCAACTGGTAACACCAGAACTTTAATCTCTCAGTCTCTTAAAACACTCCTCTCTGGGCCAATCACTCCAACGAGGCCATGCTAGAGGGGTCCCAGGAGCCAGGGCGCTGTTGGAATGGGAGCGACTTGGGCCAAGTGGTTCTTCTGAGTGACCAGAGGGGCAGAGCTTTCTGGGAAGGGTCAAGACAAATCCAGGAAAAGAAACACATCGAGCCCCGAAGGGTATTCCCAGGCCAGAAATGAGAAATACAGGAAGTCAAGAGTCAGGGAACAGCAGGAGCCAAGCTGGCACAGAAGGGTGGGAGTAACGAGAAGGGTTTCCTTCCTGTGGTAGGGAACCCCGAAAGTCTACACCACAGGGAAGAAGAGCTTGTATAAACCTGACGATTGTCCAGTGAGTAAAAAAATTCCCATAACCTGGGTACCAGGGCAAAAAAGGCATAAAAAGAACTCAGTGTTCTAGTAAAGAGGCAAGTAGTACTCAATGTACTAAATATTTTAAAAATTTTTTATCATCAGAGATTAATTAACGTAAACATACATAAAATTACAGAAAATAATATAACAGACACCCAGGAGTTTAAAACAATATTGACATTTTGTTGCATTTACCTTTTTTTTTTTTAATTAAGCATTTTATTTAGATTTTTTTTTTTTTTTCAGACCTACGGAGAAGTTATAATGTTCAGTCTTATAAAGGAAGGAAATCCTCAGGGTGCCTGGGTGGCTCAGTTGGTTAAGCCTCCGACTTCGGGTCAGGTCATGATCTCACGGTTCCTGGGTTTGAACCCCGTGTCGGGCTCTGTGCTGACAGCTCAGAGCCTGGAGCCTGCTTCAGATTCTATGTCTTCCCCTCTCTCTGCCCCTCCACCACTCTGCTCTGTCTCTCTCTCTCAAAAACAAATAAAGTATTTAAAAAAAAAAAAGGAAGGAAATCCTGCCATTTGCACCATGGATGGACCTTGAGGGCATTATGGTAAGTGAAAGAAGTCAGAGAAAGACAAGTACTGTATGATCTTACTTCCATGTTTTCTCTAGCAAAACCAAACTCACGGAAACAGAAGAGTTTGGTAGTTGCCAGAGGTGGAACATGGGGGCAGGTACAGGAAGTGGGTGAAGGTGGTCAAAGGGCACAAACTTCTAGTTTGAAGATAAGTAAGTTCGAGGACGTAATACATGCCATAGTGACTACAGTTAAAACTACAACACTGTACCATATATTCAAAAGCTGCTAATAAAATCTTAAAAGTTCACATCGTAAGAAAAAAGACTATGTGGGGTGATGAATGCTAACTAAAACTACTGTGGTCATCATTTTGCAATACATACATATGTCAAATCATTATGTTGTGTACCTTAAATTTACACAATATTATATGTCAGTTACAGCTCTGAAGAGAGCTGTACAATACGAGTGGAAAAATTACATAAAATCTGTAAACGTGCAGGAAATACAGTATCGGCATAACAAAAAAGAGTATTGCAGTGAAATCCCAAATACTCTGGCATTTGGATTCAACCATTGTTAACATTCTGCTCTCTCCATCTATACATGTATATATAATACATACATTTATTTTTCTTCCCGAATCACCTAAGAGTAAGTTGCAGAGGTCATGAGCCTTTCCTCTCAGGAGTGTGTGATTCTAAGAACAAGACATTCCTATAGAACCCAGTGCAATTATCCATTTAAAAAAAAATACAATACTGCTATCTATGTTTGGATTTTCTAAACTATCTTATGCAGCAACTTTCCCCTCCTCCAATCAGGATCCAATCCTGCACCATACAGCATGCATCCAGATGTCACGTCTCTTCAGTCACCCTGTCGTGGAAGGGTTCCACAGCTTTCCTCTGTTATTTGTGACCCTCACGGGGGCAAAGACCACAGGCCCTCTGTTTTGTGTGATGATCCCTAATTTGTGTTCATCTGCTTGTCTTTTCATGCTCCAACCCAGACTGTGCATTACAGGCAGGTCTCCTACAGAAGGGTTGGGGGTCCCTTGCAGGACACCCTGGGAAGGCACCTGACATCGGTTTCCTCCAGAACAAGTGATGTCACATATGACGGTTACTTGGTTAAGCTGCTGTCAGGGCTTTGCCGTAAAAGTGCCTTTTTTTCCTGAGAAGCAAGTTGTCTGTGTCCTCTGACTGTGTAAGTATTTGGTCCCCAACAAACTTTCACCCAGAGGTGAATCAGACACTTCAACTGGGGTCGCAGATGGAGTTTTCCAACTTTATCCTTCCTGCTGCATTTGTAACAGTTAGCATTTTACAATAACAAGGAACTTCCCCTTCCCCCAATTTATGCTTTTTAGTATCAATATGGACTCATATGGTCTTTTGTTTTTCAACAGTTTATGATCTGGTTGCTGTTACTTATCTTGACACTCAAAATGTTTCAAACTAGCTCCTGTGTCCTTCTGCCATGCTCCCTGTGGGGAAGAAGTTTAAGAATTCTCTCTTCAGGGAGCCCCAGTTCCTTTTAGTGGGTAACGGAATTTGTAAACCCAGGATATGGAAGC